CACACACAGAGAGAGACGGAGATATATACATGTAAATGTATATAATGTGCGTTTAAAGAGGTAAAAAAGACGACATCCATGAAGTTCGTTCGGTGAAGCAGAAAAATGAACGCGTCTGCAGAGGCGGCCTGCCACCTCCGCACGCTTTTGCAACTGCGCGAAGGCGCACTGCCGCGCGCGCACACACACACACACGAATGACGGCGTATGCCCCTCGCTCTCTCCCTCTCTCTCACTCTCTCCCACCCACACCCTTCGTTTCCTTCTTCCCGCTTCCCCAGACACGACATGAAAGGAGCCTACGTGGACTTCTTTTCTTTTGTAAGGGGCGAATTCGGCTCATGGACGCGAAACGACGACATCCGCCTGCTCCCCTGTAAACCTGAGGCAAAGCTCTCAGCGTGCAGCGAGGCAGAGGGGGAGGGATGCGAAAATAACAGGCGCTTCTCCCCAACTAAACTTTTCCCATCGTCCTCCTCCTCCTCATCGGTGTCGGGCGGAGACCCAACAGCCTCTGCGACAGAGCGCGTGCGACGCAGATAGAGAAACCCGATCAACGCTCCTGCGGCAAAGGCAACCCACACAGCAGTGGCGCAAAAACAGACGAACAGCAGCAGCGTCGTGCAGATGAAGCTGGTGAAAGCGTACGTCGAAAAGTAGTACGCAAGACCGGTGAGATGAACGCTGCTGAAGAAGTGCATCCGGCGCAGCCGCGCCCGGTGTAGGGTGTCCCCCACCTGCTGGTACAACGTAAAGTTGATGGCGCGAAGCCGAGGCTGTAAGGCGAGGGGCGGCTCAAAGCCGTTGTAAACGTCGGCGACGACGCCCACCTCGGTTGAGGCATCAACCGCAGGGAAGACGTCGCGGCGCAGCAACTCGATGAAGTTCTCATACATCCACAACGGCACAAAGAAGGCAACGCGAAGCGACATGCTGATCAAGTGCATGAGCCAACTCTTCTCCTTCTCACCCGTTGTGAAGGTGAGGGAGGTGGTCGTCTTTAAAAGGACATCTAAGGCGCTGAGTGCCTGAGAGACATCGGGATCCTCAGAAAAGAGCACGGCGGATTCCAACACCAGAGAAACGTCGCACCCCACGTCCTCCTTCAGAAAGACGAGCTGCACCTTGGCGTCATACACGCCCCTGGCATTGAACATTGGCCTCTGCTGCTGGAAGAGTGCCTCAATGGAGACGCCGCCGCCGGGAGGAAACACTTCCCTCTCCACCAATGTGGGAATGAGCAGCGTGCTTGTCGCCAGTGTACTTTGCACGTACTGCTGTACAAGGGACATTTTCAGCGCGGCCGCCTGCTCCGCAACGGAGAAGGGCAGCTGTGCGTCGATAGCTCCCCTCCTTGCCACGATGGAATTGGCGTCGCCGTGGGGGGGCAGTGGCAGTGGCTCAGCTGCCACTTGCGACACAAAGCTGTCCACCCTGCGCAGCCGCCACAACTCCGTCTCGAAGGGCATGATGTTGAAGGTGAGAGGCAGCAACTGATTTCCAGGGGCGTGCGAGAGGATGTAGTGACGGACAGCCACGGTGCCCAGAAGCGAGAGCGCAAGGCAGCCCAGAAGGGTCAGAAGCACCAGGAGTGCCAGCGAGAATATGGCAAGCGAGGCCACGATGGTACCTTTGGACGTCTTCAAGGCGATTTGGTACCAAACGCGCAACAGCTCCCGGCAGTCGTCGAGGCGGGCGAGCACATACTCCTCGACGGAAAGGCCGCAGTCGAGGAGAAACACAAAGAGTTCATTCAAGTTTGACGCATCCATTACGCAACTTCAGAGCAAAAAAAAAACGAAGGTGAACAGCCTCACAGGCAGAGAGGGGGAGAGGAAAGCCAAGCCTCTGTGGGGGAGAAGTAGGGGAAGTGATAAAACAACATCATGCGGGGGCACCACAAAGGCGAGGCCATAATGTGAAATGTCAGCCTTAGGGCAGCGTGTAGAGGGCCAAAAGCCGCTCAACGTTCGTCGCGGACACGTGTGGGTTGGAAATACACGCATGGCAGTAGACACGCAGTGTGCTGGGGGAAGTGTCCAGAAGCGCGCCCTTCCAGTGTGCAATGAGAAGCTCCTTCATGGCAATGCAAGAGAGCATTCCCTGCATCAGCTGTTGAGCAGCGGCCAATCGTCGCGTTTCGGCTTCTCCGCTGGATGCTGGGGAGCAAAGGCAAGTCACGCCCTCCCGGTAGATGCGGTGTTCCTCCGCCAGCAATGCATGGATGAGGTCAAAATCTGCCTGTATGTCGGACAGAAGATTATTGTCAACGACAACGTCAGCCTTCTGCCGCAGTTGCGTGTTTTTTGCCAGCCGGGAGAGGACGGCACGCCAGCGTGAGGGCAGCACCTCCAGATAGTGCCGCTGGACCCGATCCTGGAGGTAGGTACGGGAAGCGGCGGCTGCGGAAGAGGGCGGCATCCCTTGCTCGTCCCGCCCTTTCTCGGGGAGGGAAGGCAGCGGCGGCAACAGATCAGTGCAGAATGGCAAGGAAGAAAAGGAAAAAGGAAAAAGACGGGGTTTAGAACGTAAGCCAAAGTGGTAACAACAAAAACACACACACTCGCAGTACAGAGAACGAAACGGAGGAGGAGAAAAACGTTACGGTGGCCTCCATGGCGTGTTTTCGCCTTGCACCTCGCACGGGAGGGCGGTGTGTTCAAAATTACTCGGCGGAAGGTGTTAGGAAGAAATTATTTCCTCATCATTCTCTCTCCTTTGCCTCTTCGCTTCTTACGCGTTACGGGGCTTCGTCGCCTTTCCGCTCCTTTGCTTCGCTGGAGGGATGCTGAGGCGGCTCGCCTTGGGTGGCGCCTTCGCCACTGCGTCTGCGCTGCTGTCGCGCGGACGTTTGCTGGGCATCTTCTTTCCGCTCTTCCCACGTCCTGAGACGCCGTTGCGTTTCCCCTCCGCCTCCTCCTTGGCGTCGTGGACTTCTGCGCGCTCGCCCGACAACTTCTTCAGCTTGCAAACAAAGAAGCCATCCATGTTGTGCACGTGCGGGAAGAAGCGGCGCGAGCACTGCATCTTTTCGTGAAAGCGGTGGTGCCGGTACTTTGTGAGCCCGGGGCGACCGAAGGGAAGCCCCATTTCGACGATCTCCACGTGACGTCGCCGCACCGCAAACTCCACGACCGCCTCGTTCTCCTCCACGAGGAACGAGCAGGTGGAGTAGACGACGTAGCCGCCCACCTTCGCCGCGTCAATGGCGGAGAGGAGGAGGGATCGCTGCTGCTGCGAGGCCCGCTGGACGTCCTCGTAGTGCTTGCTGGTCTTGATGCTCTTGTCGCGCGAGATAATGCCGCTGCCCGTGCAGGGAGCGTCGAGAAGAACGCGGTCAAAGTTCTTCATGACTTTGTCGTAGCCGACGCCGTCGTAGTTCGTCACCACCGCGTTTGTCACCCCAAGACGCTGCAGGTTGGCATTCAACGACTTGGTGCGGGGCTCGCTCACGTCATTGGCAAACAGCACCCCTGTGTTCTTCATCAGTTGGGCAATGTACGTTGTCTTGCCCCCCGGCGCGGCGGCCATGTCGAGAATACGCTCCTGCTCCTGCGGGGCGAGCGCCATCACCGGCAAAAAGGAAACGGCCGACTGCAGCATGTAATGCCCGGCAAGGTACTCGATCGTACCCGCTATTGGAACATTGGACTCAAACACCTGCAGACCAACCTTGGACCACTTCTCCAGCGGCTCCACATTCATGCCGCGCTTCACCAGCGTCTGGGCCAAATCCCGGCGTTTGGCCTTCAGCGTGTTCACGCGGATGGTCGTCGGCCGCGGCTTCTCCATCGCCTCGAAAAACTCCACAGCCTCGGCCGGTGGGAAGAGCAGCAAAATGGCATCCGTAAGGAACTCATTGTATTCGTATAGCTCCATAAGGTCGGAGCGGAGCAGTTCCATGTACTCCGCGCGCGTCCGCTCCTCCTCGCGCTCATCCTTGAACTTCGACAGCACACGAACTGTCTCCTGGACCCGGTCCCGCAGCTCCTCCGTCGTGTGCCGCTGGCCCAGCAGCTGCATCTGCTCCGCCGCCTCCTCGGCATCGTGCAGCGGGGTCGACCTCACCGCACGGGTGCGCATCTCCGCCTCACGCTCCTCCGCGGCCTCGCGGCTGAGGGCGAGCATCCGCCGGCGATACTTCTCCGCCTTCACCTCAAAGTCGTCATCGTCGTGGATGGCCTCGTCGTCGCCGTCGTCCGCCGCCGCCGCCGCCGCTGCGCGGTGGTCGTCGGGAAGCACATCGTCGAATTCAATGGCCTCCTCGTCGTGAAGCGACGCCTCGTCGGACGGCGTCGGCGCCCTCGCCACCTCCGGCTCCGCCGCCTGCTTCTTGCCGGCGGCGCGGCCCGTCGTCTTCTTCTTGGCACCCATCGACGCGAGAAGAAGAACACACGAGCGACACAAAAAGCTTCTCTGGCTTCCCGCAGTACTCTCAAGAAGTTCCAGCGGCAAAACAGGCACGAAAGAAAAAAAAAGAGGAAATAACTAGGAATGGCCATGAGGCGGAAAAAAAAAGGGGGGCAAAGCTCTAATGGGCCGGCGGGGGGCAACAGCCGTGCAACGCCGACACACGTGGATGCTGGGGGAAGGGGCAAGGGAGGCTGGCGCACACGCGGCACATGCATCGGCCGCGCCACGACGGCAACGGAAGACGCTGCAGTGGCAGACAACGAGGGCGCGATGGCAGCCTGCAGCGCAAAACAGGCCGCAGAAGCACAACCATTGCACACTTGCGCAACAACACGCCAACTGAAAACAACCAGCAGAAACAATAACTACGATAGCAGGGAAAGGTACGACGAACGCGGCTTAGACGGCGACGACACGCAGCCGTCTGCGGCCCCGCTCTCCGTCTGCTGCGAGTCTTGCAAGCGTTCCAGTTTGTCAACGTCGCGCCGCTGCACGGGCGGCCGCAGACGATGGTGAACCTCATCGGCCACGGTGTGCGGGAGGTCACGCGCCTCCTTCGCGCGCACTCTTTCCTCACGTTTGCGCAGCTCCTTCTCAATGAGGTGCAGCTGCTGCATCCGCCGGCGTCTCTCGCCGAGCGACAACTCACCGGCCTCGCGATCCCGTTCAATTTGGGCCAACCGGCGCCTCTTCACTTCCGCCTCGCGCGCGGCAACCTCAAGCTGCCTCAGCTCCAACGTCTCCTGTAGGCGCTCCAGCTGTCGTTCCTTGCGCAGGAAGGCCTCGGACCAGCGCCTGCGGGTCTCCAACTCGCGCTGAACCAACGCATTCTCGCCCCTGTGCAACGCCTCCTCCCAACGGAGAAGGAACTCGTGCCGCACCTCGAGCTCGGATTCTCGCTCCTGCAGCAGCAGCTCTCTCTCCAGCTCCGCCTGCTCCCGCCTACGGCAAAGACGTTGGACGAGTGAGAGCGCCCTTGCGTCATCGCCCGAGACGTCACCGACGGGGCCCACGCAGTACGCTGCTTCAGCGTGCGAAGGCGGCGGGCGGGCGTCGAAAGCTTTTTTTTCAAGCTCGCGCCGGAGCTTGTCCATTTCGCGCGACAACCTCACAATCTGCCCCTGCGCCTGCGCGTGCTCCTCCTTGGCCACAGCCAACGTCTCCAAGAGAATGGCGTTCTGCGCCTCCAGCCCGTCGGCCCGCGCAACCCGCTCCTCCCTGGAGCGCAACGTCGACTTGAGCCCTGCGGCGTACCTCAGCAGCGCCTCCTGCTCGTCCTCGCAGCCACGCGGCTCCCGGGCGTTACGGTCCGCCGCCGCATCAACGTGTTCTGTCCGCTGCAGCGGGGCAGGCGTCCCATGGCGTGGCTCCGAGGCGGGGGGCGGCCGCAGCAGCAGCGCCGACACCTTCGCCTTCGACAGGTGCGGCCACCGGACCAGAAAGAACTCAACAAAGTCGCCGTAGTCGAGGAACTCGGGAAACGTATGCGCCGCAAACGGCGCCGCATCTGGCGGGCGCGTCTCGCCATGCCGCATGAGGCGGTGCTCCACGTCCTGCATGGCCCCCCGCGAGACAACCATCTCGGGCGCAGAGGCGCAGGCGCAGAACGCGGAGTAGAGCGCCTGCTCCACGCACACGCTCCAGACGCTGCCAAGTGAGACCCGGCAGTGCGCACACAAGAGATGGACCATCCGCCGAAACGTCGTCGCGTCGATGCGTGCCTGCTTGAATGCCATGAGAGGCGTCTCCTCTTCTTTCAGCGCGGAGGCCTTGTCCGGCAGGAGGCCGTGGCGTTCAAAGTACTGCGCGGTGGCATCCAAGGTGACCGCGCCGTCGCCGTCGCTATCAACCAGAAGGAACAGATCATCCTCCATACGCTCCCTGCAGCAGCTTACTGCAGAAGGAATCCACAACGGAGGGGAGAGAGGGAAAGAAAGAGGAAGGGAGACCACCACGGAGAAACGCAGGGATGAGAGAGGCCCCAGCGCACAACAGCAAGGCACGGTGCGGAAATCTTCAGCAGTGTCAGCGGAAGAAGGATGGCGAAAAACAAAAACAAAAAGTGCGAAAGCCGTAAATTAGTGTGTGGAATAAACGAAAACAAAAAAGGAAACCAAAGAGTGAAAAATAGACGTCGGTCCTGGGGACAGAAGCTCCTCTTAGACTTCAGTTCATGTACTGCAGTTTTTGGGTTTCCTGCGGGTTATAATTCTTAATCGTGGGGGGAGGGGAGCCACACTGCAGGTGAGCGGTTAACCCACGCCATCGTCGCCTTTAGATAATGAGAAGCTCTTTGTCTTGTTGTCTTTGCCCCCCGACGCAATTTGTGATCCGCCAACGTACGTGACGTCCAGCACGCCGTCGGTGTGCATGCTGTCCAGCGTGAGGAGGGCGGCGGTGGAGGAGCGGAGATCCCACACGCGGACGGTGCTGTCCTCGCTGGCGGTGGCGAAGAGGTGTGCCCCTCCCTGCTCCCCCTCCTCGCGCCGCCACAGCCACGTCGCCGCGTACAGCCACTGCCGATGACCGCTGAAGCTCTTCACAACTTGCTTCGCACGCGTGTCGTAGAGTCGGGCGCGATTGTCAGTGCAGGCGGCGACGATGAGGTCGCCCCCGCCCCCCGCGGGCTTCACGGCGATTCCTTGGATGGGGTGGTCGCCTTCGTGGTTCGAAAGGAGGACGGCCTGCTCGACGCTGAGGGACTTTACAGCCCCATCGAGGCCGGCGGAGTACAACAGCGCAGGCCCGTTCGTTGCGGAGAAGCGACAGGAGAGAACAGGCCGCGTGTGGTCGGTGAAGGCGACAAGCGGCGCCTTTGACGCGGCCGGGGTGTCTGCGTCCAGCAGCTGAGACCACTCAAACACCTTGACGGTGCCGTCCCAAGAAGCGCTTGCCACGTACTCCCCACGCCCCGGTGAGACGTCGACGGAGTCCACGCCGTCGACATGCGGCTTCACCACCCCCAGTGGCTTGAGTTGGGCCAGGCTGCTGTCAAACCGCCAAGCCACAACGCTGCCGTCCTTGCTGCAGCTTGCACACATGAAGTCCTCCACCGCCACCGCCCGCTGACGTTTCCGCGCTGACGCCTTTGCGTCCGTCGAGGGCGCCGTGGGTCGCACAGGGTGCAGGCAGACCTCCTTCACGCATTCCTTGTGGTAGGTGCCGAGGGCAACGCAGTTCTCCCCGTCCCAAAGACGCACGCAGTGGTCGTACGACCCGGTGAGCAGCAACTCCGCGCAGCCCGGAAAAGGTGCCCGCACACTACTTACCCAGTCATCGTGCGGAAGCAGCGATCCCTCCTTGGCCTGCAGCGCCGGGGTGTACTCGATGTTGAGCAGCTCCTCGTAGCTAATGCCTCGGCGAGCGAGAAATTTTTGCAACGAAGTTGCAATGTACTCCTCATTGAAAAGGAAATCGAACATTTGGCCCTCCTCCTCGAGAACGCTCTGCAGCAGCGTGTTCAGGCCCTCCGGAAGCGTGTCCAGCGGCACGGCGTAGGACTGCTCCGGCATCGACTTTGGATAACTTGTGGTGAAAAATGTCACCATGACATGCCCGCCCTGTGCGCTCTCGTGCTGCGCCACGCCCGCCGCCCCCTGCGACTCAGCCCCGTGCAGCATCCCGACACAACTGCCACAGCTGCCGCCCACCGCACCGCAAACCTAAAAAAAAAAGCTGCAGAAGAAAACAAGAAGAGCAAATAACGCACAAAAAGCCAGCAAGAGAAGACCCAAAACAAAGACAACGACGTTATGCCTCAGACGCAAATTCGCCCACTCCAAGGCCACAAGGCAATGGCACTCCACCATCACTAACACCAAACGCCGCACCGCAGCCCGGCGGGGAGGGCACACCGCGCTGAACAGAGACCTCGTCCCCGCCACGCGGCATGCACGGCCCACACGACGCGTGCAGAGCCAGGAAAGCAGAAAAGGAAAAAAAAGCTGCTAAGGAGGGAAAATACGCCCTCGTGGCGGAGCCTTCTAATTTCGCCCCACATAGAGACGAGAAGCCACGATAAAAAAAGTAATTCAGCCCATTGCGGCCAGAAGTGCGCATTCTAACGAAATTTATTCCTGTCGCGTAGAAGAAAAACATTTGATACACGCAGGCGCTTTATTGCGAACGGCACCTCGGGAGCTCGCGGAGCGGCAGTCCGCAGGGGCCCCGCAACCACCGGGACCGCCGCGTTGAGGGCGCCAGCGGCGGGTGGACAGAGCTGCGCCCGCCGGCTCCCAACGCGCCGTCGCAGGGGAAACAGGGCAGGTGATGCGTGCAGAAAACAAGGAAAAAATCAAAAGAACAAATCGTCCACTGGTTCATGTGGGCTCGCCTCCGCGCGTGACCCTTCGCACAGCTCCGCAATAAATACATAAAGAGGGGGCGCGCAGGATGAGGCCGCCCGAAAAATAATTTAGTTAAACGGCGGGTGGGAAGGCACGAGGGCCGCCCCACCGACGCCCGCACCGTCGCCGCGTGAGGCTCCACAAACGAGGCAGGCCGCATTTACACGGGGCGACGAACGTGGATGGTGTTAACCGTTTCCTCCCCTTCCCAGGAAACCGTCTGTGCTGCAGCTGAGGGCGCTCGGCTGAGGGTGCCGCGTGAGTAATGCCGACCGTA